AATGGTACACACTGCTCCTTCCCTTATTTTAAAATTTAGCAGCAGCATGAATCTCTTTTACCAGAGCTAAGGTAATTACTTCCGAAACAAACGCGTACGTAAAGGACAAATTGTTTAGGCTCTCAAGCTTTAGGCGTACGTTCAGATCTCACCATCCCATAGTTCTTCCATGGTCCAATATGCCCCAAATGTTTCATGCACAAGTCCACCGCCCTGATCAGCCTCTCCTGGAAGACAAAAACAGGTAATAAATAATCTGAATGTTAGGCCCAATAAACTACGCCCACGACGCCCATAAGAGTAAGATAATCCAGACTGCCACTTGACCAAATCCACATCACACCTCTAACACATCTAGGAGGATGGAGGTAAAGATATAAAAGACACCAGTGAAGGCTTGAAGGGAGATCCGAGATCCTCATTCGGCCTAGTCCATCTCCATTCTTTCCTCTTTGTTATTAACTGCTTCTCTTATCAGGCACATATTGACTTAAGCGTCGAATTCCGGAGTCCTAACGCCGATGCTTCCTGACCTTTTTCTTCTCCTTGACAGGTCAAACAGGTCCACCAATTTAGCCTCCGACGAACTTTGTTCTCACTAGACTAAGAATTACATCAACACTGAACTAGACCTAAAGCTCACGTATTTTGCTTATACACTATAGATCTACAATAAACCGGCCATGAAAAATGGATAAGTAACTTACCTGCTCAATTTCAGAAAACTTGACAAACAAGTCCACAGGTATAGACCAATCAAAAAAATCAAAGTTTTCTCTGATCGTCTCTTCATTTGTACTCTTAAGCAATATACTGTGACCCATTTGCAACCCCCAACGGAGAGCTACCTCAGCAGGGGACTTGCCCAATTTCTCCGCAACCATATTCAAAATTGTGTTCTTAAGGACCTGTGTCTTGGCAATTCCTGTGCCTGGGGAACCCAATGGTGAATACCCCTGAAACCACAACAAGTAATTCTCTATATATTGTTGGGAATAATGACTCAAATCCCATAAGAGATTTATTTGGGATTTGTTAGAGATTTATTTGAGATTTGTCAGATATTGCTTGATGGACAAAAATACTTGCAAAAGAAGAATTCCAAGAGAAAGGGGATTCTTAATAGGTAAGTTTGACTTGCAAGAGAAGAATTCTAAAGGGAAAGGGATTCTTAATAGGCAAGTTTGACTTACAGAAGAAGAATTCTAAGAGGAGAGGGATTCTTAATGGGTAAGTTTATATGGTTATAAATAGGTGAAGTCTCTATAGGGTTAGATATGAGAAAAAGATGTAAGAGAGTTGTAGGGTTTTGTGGGATAGACACCCCATAGGAGTATTGGGGCTCTACGTCTTATGGGTGTGTATGTTTGTTTGTGAGTGGACTAGATTGAGAGGGTCCACATAGGTATGATATATGGGAGCATATGGGTATGTGTTTGGTTATGTTGAAAGGGTGCACAAGGGTTTGGGTTTGTGTTTGTTTAGGTTGAGAATACTCCATAGGACTAGAGGAGATTGAGAGTGTCTTATGAGTATTGATTGTTGAGTGAGGTTGATGATTTGATGTAAGTTTGTAATTTTCTACAACTAGTGGATCTTGTTTCTCATCCGTGGATGTAGGTCAGTTGGACCGAACCACGTTAAATTGTTGTCTCTTGTGTGTTTGATTTATTGTTTGATTTCGCTTCCGCTGCGTGTGATTGGATTGGAGGCTTTTAACCCAACAAATGGTATCAGAGCTGAAGGTTCGAAACGTGAAAAGAGTTGAAGATTCAAGATGTGAAAAGAGCCGAAGGTTCGAGATGTGAAAGAGCTGAAAGTTCGAGATGTGAGAAGAGCTAAAGGTTTGGGAAGTGCATGATTTGAGACATGAAATAAGCAAGTCCAGAAGTGCTCGATTCAAGAGAAGAGTTCGAGTTTAAGTTTTGAAGATTTAGGATTGATTTGTATGAAGCGTGAAGACACAAGAGAAGAGAAGATGATTGTGAGACTTTCATTGTAGGTGGAGCTAAGCATATCTAGCATGAAGATAGATGATTGATGGAATTTGAGTCAAGGTGGAGATTGTTGGGAATAATGACTCAAATCCCATAAGAGATTTGTTTGGGATTTGTTAGAGATTTATTTGGGATTTGTCAGATATTGCTTGATAGACAAGAATACTTGCAAAAGAAGAATTCCAAGAGAAAGAGGATTCTTAATAGGTAAGTTTGACTTGCAATAGAAGAATTCTAAAAGGAAAGGGATTCTTAATAGGCAAGTTTAACTTACAGGAGAAAAATTCTAAGAAGAGAGGATTTTAAATGGGCAAAGTTGTTTGGGTATAAATAGGTTAAGTCTCTACACGATTTAAGGTATGAAAAAAAAATGTAAGAGAGTTGTAGGTTTTGGGGATAGACACCCTCATTAAGAGTATGGGCTCTACGTCTATGGCTGTGTATGTTTGTTTGTGAGTGGGACTAGAGGAGATTGAGAGGGTCCACATAGGTATGAGTTATGCGGAGCATATGGCGTATGGTTTGTTATGTTAATGGTGCACAAGGCTTTTGGGTTTGTGTTTGTTTGGGTTGAGAATACTCCATAGGGACTAGAGGAGATTGAGAGTGTTTATGAGTATGATTGTTTGAGTGAGGTTGATGATATGAAGTATGTTTGTAATTCTCTACAACTAGTGGATCTTTTTTCTCATCCGTGGATGTAGGTTAGTTGGACCGAACCACGTTAAATTATTGTCTCTTGTGTGTTTGATTTATTATTTGATTTCGCTTCCGCTGGTGTGATTGGATTGGAGGCTTTTAGCCCAACATATATTACATAAGAAACAATGAGTGTTTGAAGACAATAAGAAATAACAATACTACAACATAATAGCATATCCTGAGCCTCCTTAAAGCTTGTCATCTAAATGAATCCTAAATTTCTTTAAATAGGTTCGCTTATCTAGTAGAAGCAGGCATCATAAATATAAATGTGAATTCCAACCTCATGCTTTTTTGCTTTCATACTATATATATGTATACTCACAGTTACATGAATTCCCTTGGATTCACAGAATGCATGTAGCTTGGCCTGCTGCCAGACAGGATGGCATTCCACCTGCAGTACAGCAGGAGTAACGCGAGCTACCTCCAACAGATCTCCAACCTTCTTTGTAGAGAAATTGCTTACTCCAATAGCTCAAGCCTTGCTTGAGTCATATACTGCCTCCATTGCTCTCCATGTGCTGGGTATGTCAGGTTGGGTTAGGTTCTCAGGATTAGATCCAACTGTTCCCTTTTTCATGCTGGTAGGCCAATGAATCTTCAAACATTAAACAATCAAATTATCATTCATTAAGAAATGATGAACAAAATTTGCTTCTGATAATGAGGCCAAAATGGAAGAAACATGGTTGTGTTAATATTTCTACATACTAGATAGAGATCTAGATAGTTCAGCTGCAAGTCTTGCAAGGTACTATCTAATGCCTCTTGTACATCTTCCGGTGCATGATTATTGCACCTGCAGAAAGTTGTAATTCATCCCGGTCCACATGACAAGCCTTAAATACGTGGTATAACTTACGGCATCTAAAAGATTTTTAACTTTACACTCAAAAATTCAACTTTGAAATGGCAATTTCATATATGATATATGTAAAACACTTGAAAGGATTTTGAAATTGAGAAAAACCAGAGTTTGGATGTGATCCAAAGATCTTCACGCTCCACAATACCATCTTCAAACAGCTTCTTCAGAACAGAACCAATCTACGTAAACCAAATTATGGGTCATGAGTAAATTTTATTTCCTATTATTATCATTCATCAAAATCAAGGCACCTCAAATATAAATTCAACTAAAAAAATAGTAAAGGAATTACTACTTTAATGCAAAATTGGCTTAAAAAAATGAAATTCATCCAGGAAAAATAGTTGAGGCAAAAGTCATTACCTCTTTTTCATTCCCATAGAATTGAGCACAACCAATATGCCGATGTCCAAGCTGCATTAACCCAGAATGATAAGCAGCCATTCCTTTATTTCCCCAAGTTTTCATAATAACTTTTTATTTGATTTAATTAGGATCTGTTAGCTACTTGGATTTTTTGAATAGAGGAGTGAAGTAAACATCCCACAGTTTCGGTTCCCAGAAAATTATCCAGAGAGACCCAAATATGAGAATTGAGAAATACCTTGATAGCAGCGGCAATAGCATTGCGAACTACTCCAGGAGCAGCCTGCCATGTTCCCAGTCCAACAGAGGGGATCTTAGCTCCGGAGTTCAGTTCGAAGTATGGAATTGCCTGACCCATTTCTTTTTTTTTTTTTTTAATGGAGACAACCGATGAATAGCTTATAGAGAGACAGCAACAAAAGTGGCTCGTAGACGCGTTAAAACATGTTTTTAACCAAGAAACAAAAAAGAGAATGGTAAAACGTAAATTTGGTAATGCTCCCTTCGTACACGTGTGAGTACTCAGCAGTTTGATTGCCCATTTGTGCGCCGACAAAGAAAATCTTACTTCTGATGGATGTCGTTTTCGTGGTTAATTTATGTCAGGGAAACAATTCCCTGGTATATGCTCTTTACAATTTGAAAGAAAGATTATCCAGAGGAATTGTTCAGAGACAACATTCCATACCGAAAGCTCCTGATGACCACTTGCTCAGAGACTATTGGTTTGTCAGAAATTCAGAGCGAACAGTCCCCAGTTCCCAATTATTAGTGCCTTAGAAATTAATTTTAACACTTTAACCTTAACTTGAAATGTGAAAAGGTAATGAAAGGTTTCCTGTTTTATAGTGTTGAAATCAGAGGAAATGAAATTAATTTTAACAACATAGAGGAATTATCTATTGTGATAAAATTAGAGGGGGGAACTTCTCCACAGTTCCAAGACATAAATGAATTGCAAATAATTTGAAGGAAATTTTGAACAGTTATACATTTACGAGTAGAGACGTATAAACTCCGAAAATAGTAGTACATGATTTACCACTTCCAAAAATATGTCTGCTTCAGATTTCACCATCCCAGAGTTCTTCAATAGTCCTGTATACGCCATAGGTATTGTGCACATATCCTTCCCCTCTTGCTAGCTTCTCCTGCATTTAGAACAACATATTTAATTTACCCGGTAAGAAGATAAAAGGAAACACCTAAAAACAGATTGCCTTGATCAAAAGATCGTTTTCAGAACAAAATGACAGTGTTACTTGCCTGTTCAATTAGAGAAAACTTGGGAAGAAACTCTTCAGGTATAGACCAATTAAAAACATCGAGGTTTTCCTTCAGCCTTGCTTCACTTATGCTCTTAGGGAGTACGCTATGACCCATTTGCAGTCCCCAACGAAGAGCCACTTGCGCGGGGGATTTCCCTACTTCATTTGCCACCATTTTAACAACCGGATTGTCTAGGACCTTCTTCCTGACATTTTCTCCAGCTTGAGAACCCAAAGGTGAATATCCCTGAGATCAAAGAAATTAATACCTATGGCTAATATAATCAAGATGGAATGCTGTGTAAAATGTGTGGATTCAAAAGATGATAAAAAACTAATTCAAATATAAATGAGATGAATCCTGGGCGGCTTGTTTCCCTCTGCGCAAACCAATTAAACACCCCAATAAGAAGAATATGCTGCTTTTATGGCTAAATCAACAAACTTACCGTCAAGTGAATCCCCTTGGATTGACAATATCCATGCAGCTTTGGCTGCTGCCATACAGGGTGAAGTTCCACTTGATTGACAGCAGGAATTATACGTGCCACTTCCAATAGATCTCCAAGCTTCTTAGAAGAGAAGTTACTCACTCCAATAGCCCGAGCCCTACCAGAATCATAGAGTGCCTCCATTGCTCTCCAGGTACGAGGTATGTCAGGTTTGGTAAGGTTTTCGCCCTTAACAACAACTGAACCCTTTTTTGCACTCACTGGCCAATGTATCTTCAAAATTCATCACAATTAGCAACAATATGACCCTTTTTAAGTACAAAAAGTATTGTGACTTTACCTATTTTACTTTAAAGCAAATGTCTTATGTTTTTTCAATTCAGTAAACACATACCAGATAGAGATCCACATAGTCAAGTTGCAAATCTTGCAGAGTTTTATTCAATGCCTTTGGTACATCTTCAGGCAAGTGATCAGTACACCTGAAAGTGCAATGTGATATAGATCAGATAATAGAACTGAGCTGAAAACCAAACTGAAATATGGGAGAAGAAAAAGATACAAACACACAAACCAGAGTTTGGAGGTGATCCATAAATCCTCACGCCTCACTAAACCTTCATTAAGCAATTTTTTTAGAGCAGAACCAATCTGAATTAACCAGAAAACATGTTTATTAGACAAAAAATTGCGTGTATTAATCTATCAGAAAAGAGATGGCATAACCCAATTCACTAGTCAGGGTTCTCCATATATTTTATGAATGTTCACTTATTACCGTAATTATAATATAAAAAAACAAATGCAACAGAAAGCAAAGACGAAGTTAACTTAGAAAATAATCATGGATTCTGTAAAAACGATCACCTCCTTTTCATTGCTGTACATTGAAGCGCAATCAATATGTCGATATCCAACCTAGATCAAGAAAGATAACAGTAATCCCAAATGTAATTCAATTGAAAATCATAAAAAAAAAAAAAAACCACACCTAGAGAGAGGGAAAAAAAAGAAGTTACCTTGATGGCATTAGTGACAGTGTTTTGGAGAACACCATGTTTGGCACCGTAAGTGCCTAATCCGACAGATGGGATCTTAGCTCCTGTGTTCAGTTCAAAGAATCTGATTTATCTGCCATTCTCTTCCAAATGTTGTTAAGAACAGAGATGGAAACAAACACAGAACTTCAAATGATTTCTGATTTTCAACTACAAAACCCTTTTAATAGTTTTTTACTTATTCTAGGTTGATGCCTGGAAGATTTGACATTTGTCGGAGAGCATTTGGTTTTTTGAGTTGTTTGTTAAGATTTTTAGATGTAAGTGGAAACTATCCCCAAGGTGGCAATTACAAAGTGCCAGGGACGTTTTTTCTTTCTTGGTTTGTTTCAAATCTGTACATGGTTTGTACTTTTTATGTTTAAAAATGGAAATTTTGATGAAAATATTTAAGATCGGAGTCCCAATAGTGGCTTTTTTCTTCTTTGTTGGGCTTGCAGGACAACAAAGAAGAGACTAAATCTATTAGTCTATGATATCAAAATACAAAATTGGAGGGCGAAAATCTAACGCATGGTGTGAATTTAGGAATTACCACATTACTAGAAACTTCAAATAAGTGATGAAGAGGAGAGAGTTTTTAATTTAGTTTTAATTTTTCCTTTTTGTATAAAAAAATTTATACAATTTTCAAAGTCTCTATATATAAATTGATATAAGATTTTTTTTTTGTTATCAAACTCTCTCATTTTTAAAGTTTGAATGATTTAAATGAGGACTTCTCTCATTTAAGAATTTCTTTTTGAAAGACTCTTATTTAAGAATTTTAAATTCTAATTGGCAAACTATTTTTCTTAAAGATTAATGATTCAATAATGATTAAATAGTATTAGTAAACGTTTAGTAAAGTCATTGTTTATATTAATATTAAATAATCCAATTGAATTAGTATCACAATAACTTTTAATAAAGTTAAACAATCACCAATTTAGTTGAAATTATTAAAAATCTAAATATAATTATAATTAAAAGTGTAATTAAATTAAATCAAGTCGATACAATACAATTCAAGTTTAAACTCAATTTAAAATTCGATACTTAAAATTTGACTCGAGCTCATTTAAGGTTTAATTTTTAAACTCAATCTAAAATAGATATAAAATTACTTAAACTTATTCGAGTATATTTATTTATTAAATTAAAAACAAGGTCGATTTTGAAAGTTGACTTTAAATTTGATTATTTGAATTTAAATTTGAGTTTAATCTTGATATATATAAAGATAAAATAATAATTTTTTAATTAAAAAATAAAAAATATATTAAAATATAAAAATTTAATTAAATTCATAAATTATTCAAATATAATATTAAGATATTCGAACTTAATTCGTTCGATTAATTAAGTTATTTGAGTTTAAGTTTAACTTGACAATAATTAAGTTAAATTTAAATTTTATTTAAATTAAATTAAATTAAAATAATTTACGAGTATTAATATATTTATAATATAATAATAATAAATATAAAATTAATGATATAAATATGTCATTTTACTTTAAAAACCTCATTTAAAAAAAATTACTCGTTTCTTAAACATTTTTTAAAAGTAATTTCCTTTCATATTTGAAAACAAATTTTTTCAAACACTCGTACAATAGGTTGTCAAATTCTAGTAAGAATGAACTACTTGTTCAAACTTCAAAAAAACAGGATAATTCATAATATATTATTTTAAAAAAGGGAGAAAATGACTGTTTTTAGGTCAGGACAAAGATCTCCTCTCAACCCCCTTGTCTTAAAAAAAGGGAAAATGAAAGAAAAAAGTACTAAAAAAAGACGTCCACGTATTTAGTACTGTTAGTCACTTTCATTAACTTGAAGTTCAACCTACTAAACTGAAAACTCTTCTTCTCTGTCTTTCCCTTTCTTTTCATCAAATCAAAACCATCAATATCACCAAATGCATAAATTATGATATGTTAAGCTAATCATAATTTCAGGGTATTTCTCATACCCTACGCTATTGATTTTATCAGAGGTGGTCCAAACTCCAAATCTCCTAAATCCCCACTTTTTTTATTATCATTTTTTTCATCGAAAAAGAAGCTGATTTGGACTCTGGATTTGAGTTCCCATTAATGGAAAACGCTTTAAGATTCTAGGATTTCTTTCCTTTTTCTAAAAAGGAGGGCTCTTTGATTTTTAGGGGAGAGGGCGGAAGGGGTGCGGGCGTTCTGCTTGAAGAAAGAGGATGAAGGACTTGATAGGAAGTCCAGGAACGGTGAGTGGGTTAACCCTAAGGATAACCCAAAGTGCATTTGCTGCTGCTTCCATTGCAGTCATGGTCTCCGCCTCTAATTTCTCTACCTACACTGCTTTCTGGTACTTTTATTTTTCCTTTTTCTACTTTTGGTTCTGCTCTCAAATTTTACAGTTTTAGATTTAATGGGTTTTTTTTTTTTTTTTTTTGGTTTGGGGTTATATTATAAATTTAATCTTCTTTTATTTGCTGCCATTGTTTCAATATTCTCAGGTTTAATCATTAACAAAATTTTAGTTTAAATGATCGGAGTAACATTGATCAGTCAACTCGGGAGTAGAACTTGTTTGGCAAAACTATGGATGAATCCTAACAGGTAGAAAGAATAGGAAAAGTGAAAGGTGAAGTTGGACCTGAATTTTGGACATGTGGATTATTACATCTTTGCATGTTATAAGGTGGTATGTGTTGTTAATGCAAATATGTTTGATAGTAGTAACAGTTAAATGAATTGTGCAGCTGTTTCTGCTATTCTAGTGTTCTGGTTTGAATTTATTGGATGATGTTTAAGTTTTCTAGATTTCTAGTTTGGGAATGTGCATGAGGAGTGGGTAAAAAAAACTACCTTTTCATTTTTAAGTTTAGCTCAATTTTGGGCCCAAGTTTTTATGCTTTCATTTGCCATATGCCAGTCGAGAAGCTTTGATCTAAGAGGGTTTAATGTCAAATCTGAGTTTTGTGTTTTTGCACTATAAAATGAAAAGGCATGAGCATTTGCTACCTTCAATTTGTAATGGCAGTTGGATGAGAAATTAGAAGCCTTGATTTAAACCTTCAGAGAAGCGTACAGATTCCTTGCATAAACCTTTGGACAACCAATTCTTCCAAAATTGGTTTTTAAGCTGAATATGAAGTTGTGCAAATTAGCAACTGCCAATTTACTTGGTTAAGCGGAAGGATTCATCTACCCCTCTAATAATATTACCACAGTTGAGCTAACATAAGCATAGACATGTCTGAGGTGCAATATTTGGAGGTTGGTTGTTTAAAGTGTGTTATTGTTCTTGTAATAGCAATTTTTTTTGGAACCGAGTGCCTGTGTTAGGCATAACAGCAGGAAAAATGAACAGAATTCTATGAAGCTTTTCTGCTACTGTGCGTAGTGCAGTGGTGGCTGTTCCCCAATTCACTTAATTTTAAGATTTGTGTCTGCTTATAGTGATAGAGTCTATAACAGAGGCATTCATTTGTCTCACTGACATTCAAGACACATGTATAATATAAGTTTGAATGCATAGTTGACTTAAAGTATGTAATCTCTTTGTGAGTCTTCTTTTATGCGTGTATGATCTTTTAAACATGCAACTTTGATGTAATTTGTTTCTTAGGCCTTTTTTGTAGTCTCACTGAATTTGGTTTTCTTTTGTGAAAATGCTGAACACAGTTCTTTTGACTAGATGTAAAGTAGCATTTACACTTATCTCCCATATTGCTTTTTGCAAAATAAATTGGTTGTGGATCTTATAGTTTCTATTCTTATTTTCACCATACTATATCCCTTGGAAAAAGGGGAAAGGGAGGTTAGGTTGGATGGAGTGGGCAGGAGGGTTAAAGTAGAATAGAAATGCACTGTAATAATTGTTATTTTTTGTTTATAATGTTCTCTGTTTCAGTTATTTGATTGCGTCTATGGGGCTTCAACTGCTATGGAGCTTTGGACTTGCCTGTCTTGATGTTTATGCTTTGAGGAGAAAGAGAGATCTTCAGAATCCAGTTCTAGTGAGCCTATTTGTTGTAGGTGATTTGGTATGCAACTTTCTCTAAGAATCATCTCTAATCTCCTTTTGTCACTAAATGGATGCATGGGCATTAATGTAAATCAGGACCATAAATTGCCTGCTATTTGCGGTATTTTGTCATATTGCATATCAGTTATCACTTATCTTTCCCCATATTTCTTCATGTTCAGGCTGTTTATATCTTTTTGATTTAATTAGTGGTTTACATGACTCTGTAAATTAGTTGTTATCATATCAAATACAGCTCTTCCATATGCTATATTGCAAGTTTTATTGACCATGTGCTCTCATTTTTCGATAATGATAGAGTACAATCCTACATCCATGCAAGATCACTGTCTTCATAATCATTATATGAACTCTCTATTCATTTTGCTTAAAATTTTTTTTTTAAAGTGGTGCTACTTGCTAGTAATTGTTAGTTAGGTAATCAGAATTTAGTCTTATTAGTTTTCAATCAGTTCTTCCTACATGCTGCTTTAATTTTTGGGAATCTTTTTGTCTCCTTGAAACTCTTGGGACGAAATTGTACATCACCTGGCTAATCCTTCTTCAAACAGCAGGTTACAGCCATGTTATCACTGGCAGCTGCATGTTCATCAGCAGGGGTTATAGTCCTGTATGCAAGAGACTTGGACTTGTGCAGGGTTCAAATTCATCTCCCATGCAGGCAATTCGAAATATCGATAATTTTGGCATTTATCACGTGGGTTCTGATCGCAATTTCATCTCATGTCATTTTCTGGATCTTAGCCTCTTTCTAAAGGACTCGGGGGTTCCCATGCTTAACATTGGACATATACGCACATAATAGTAAATGCTTCATTTTCCTTTTCTTCCCCATGCCTTTAATTTTTTACAATGTTGCAGAATTGGAGAAGTTTGGCCTGTGCACATTAAGGATTTTTTGCTTTAGTTTTCAAGTTCATTCAAATCTTACTTGTTCTTAACCTATTTCAATCATTAACAAAACAAATCTAAAATCGGTCTTGCGTTTCTTTCATCTTCCAACAGACATCACATTTCGTTTAATCCGGAGTAGTGTCATTTTTTTGTCAAAAGATAAGCAGCAACATCCATCAACCTTAAAAAATATGAAGTTGGTTTAGATTTCATCTAGGAAATCTTGCTATTTTCCTGAGCTGTTGATCATCCTGAAGAAAACATGGATGAGGCAGGTTATATAATAATCAATTAAGGTTATATTTGATACATAAAATTATGATAAGATAAAATAAGATGATATTATAAGTATGATAAAATTAAATAATTTTATATTATTTTATGTTTGATATATACAAAGATTAAAATAAAATAATTTATTTATTGATCAAAATTATTTTTTTTAAATTTATATAATTTAAATTATTAATATAAAATTTAAAGATATAATAAGAGATACAATAAAAGATATAAATTCAATCTCATGAATTAAAAATAATTTTTTTCACTTTTAGAATGATTAAATTATTTTATATCAAGAGGATGATTAATTTTTTTTATAATTTTTTTTATTTAGATACAAATTAAACATAACATAAAATAATTATTATTTTACCCTATTCATTATTCAATGCACCAAACATACCCAAAGTACCAACGCTAACGCCGGATGTGGCATCTAAAGAATGAACAAACTCTGTCAAAACAGTATCATGCCACTCCACAATACCGAAAACGATTACAAATGCAATTAGCTTGAGACCTAATCAAGCATATAACTTGTGTGTATACAATGTCCTATATTTGTGTTTATATTTCTTCCTTTTTTTTTTCTTGATTTTTGGTGAATAGCATTCCAAACAAATGAGATTTCTCCCTCACAAATGTGTAAGGTTGCCTCTAAATCCCGTCATCCACCAAAAAGAACATGTCCTCCGGTAACAAAATGCCTGCTGCTCTCTGAGTCTACAAACCTATCAGCACTCATCCCTTGAAAATTATTCCAACTGGAATTTTGCCTAATGAACAAGAAAGAAAGCAGAAAAAAGAACAAGGTAGACAACCAGATTGCAGTATTGAACTCTCAAAAGCTCATTCCAAATTCAAACTTGTGATCACATGACAATTTCTGGCTTCAAAATGCTAGACTTTATCTCCTTGTGAAGCAGGACATTACCCCCGTTGCTGTAAACTTCATCTCCGAGACGAACATCTTCTCCTAAGATTGTCATGTTTTCCACCCGAGCCCACCTTCCAACAGTGGAATGCCAACCAATAATGCTACTGGAGATGCAAGCATGCTTCACGATACGAACTACTGCATTATAGTACAGCAGGACAACCTTACCCCAGACTCTATGATACATCCTGGACCAATGGCTACATCAGGTCCAATGAGGCAACCATCGCCAATTGTAGCACTCTTGTCCACCAAAACATTTCCAAGAATGTAAGATCAAGCTGCCAATTGTGCAAAGGATTTCTTACGCAAGGAATCCTGGTACAATCTCAGTAATGTAATCCTTTGGTTGTCCTATGTCCATCCAGAACCTTCGGGAAGACCTCTTTCTCAAATGAGGAGGGTCTCAGTTCAATTCGGTCTAAAACAGATGACTTCAACAAGTAGATTTCAGCATTGATTTTGTTTCCAAAAATATCTTTGGTTTCTCAACAAACTTTTCAACTTTGCCTGTAGTTTCTTCCATTACCACAACACCATTTTTTGATGGCTTATCCACCTGGAAACAAAAGTAAGATCCTTTTAGTAAGTCAAAATGGTTTAGTCCTTGACTAAGGCGAAGAACTCTAAACCCAGTTTACCACTTTACCTTCGTCACCATAATGGAAGCTTTTCCTCCATTACCCTTGTGAAAATTTATCATTTCTTTTAGCGGATACTCACTTATTACATCAATATTGAGGACAAAAAATGGCTCACCAGATCCATCAATCAACTTGTCTCTAGCCAGACCTAGGGGATCTGCTGTGCCCGGTGGTTCAGTCTCCTGTCAGCAGGTGATTTTAATGTCCAGCTTTTTCTCAAATTCTTTCAGGAAATTCCACATAACCTGCTACCAAATTAGGATGAAAAACCTATCAAGGATTATAAAAACAAGCTTAATAAAAAAAGTCAATTACATATTGTTATCATCATGAAATTTTCAGCCATAAAAAGAGCCCCTTCTATGTCACCTCTGGTTGGTAATTGATGGCCAGAAAAACTTCAGTAACTCCAATAGCTTTGAGAGCTTAAATCTGGTAGGAAAAGAAAAAAAAAAAAGACTAGGCATGATTCACACGTTTAACACATCAACATAAAGCTTCACACTTTGTTAGCATAGAACTTAAGTCGTCTTTCACTGCCTATGTAATAGCTTCCTGGAGATAAGAAAAAAAAAAGGGTCAAGGTTATAAAATCATCAAAAATATCTTGTAAACAAAGCTCTGTCTCAATAAATCTTAAATCTATTGTAAACAGGATTACCTGTCGTTGAAAAATCTAAAAAAAATTTCAAGTCAATAAGGCATATAAAATCACCAACAAAAGTAAACTAAAAGACAATCACGGAAATAAAAGAAAAAGAAAAGAAAACCTGATGCAATATCATGGGTTTGTTAGCAAAATCCACCATGGAGGCTTTGGCACGTTAAGAGTCAATGGTCTCAATAGGGTTCCGAACCCACCAACGAGAATGAAAAATCTGTATTTCCTATAAAAGTCAGACCATAACACAGATTATCTCAAACAGTGAGCCGTTTGTGTATATAATTGACAATTCCCATAATCGTAAACCAAAAAGAAGGGAAAAAAAATTGATCACAGGTGGATCGAAGGTGGCAGAGACATTGAAAAAGTGGGGAGCTTGTACTAGACGTACAGACTATTGTTTCCCAATTGGTTTAATGGCAGAACTGAGGTTGAACAGAGTTTAGTTGTAAGAGTGATGTCAATGACCTTTGCGGGCTTTGAACTCTGAACAAATCTGAAAGCATACGGTTTATTGATAGTTAAGAAATTGGGTGGAAATAGCGCTGTAATGAGACTCTAAGTCCGAGTCCAGCAATGTTTTTGATTCTTCGATGATTAACAATGCCCTCCTCGTCACCTGAGTCCATTTGGGCTCCAGTGTTTAATTAAGTGGCCTTTCAACTCTTTAAAATTTCCTTTATTTTTTCTTTTTCGAGAAAAGGAATTTAATCATTCATTTATTAGACTCCTAAGTTTGGATTATTTTTATTTGTATATTTAAGATTAAAGCAAGAATGGTATGAAATTATTTATGGCATAAAATAATTTTTATTATTTAATCATTACATATGATATATAATAAATGATTGATTTTTACAATAATATAATTATTTGATATAATTTAAATAAAAGTGATATATATTAATATGAAATAACATATTCATATAAACCTTTTTTTCAAATTATAAATCAAATATTCTATTAACAAATCATACTAACTACTGATTATTGATGTTTGAATTCATTTTTACATTTAGATGAATAGTTATTTTGTAACATAATATCATAATCTATGAAAATTATTCCTCAACCTTGTGATAAAGTATGGCTATTGATATCAAACATCAAAATTTCGCAATATTAAAAATTATGATTAAGATTTAATATATCATTATTATTATTTTATCGTGTAATAATACAGTAAAAACGAAAAGCAAGCATGGGATATAATTTTTCAATGGAAATTAGAAAATAAAAGTTGCATGGTCCTCCATACATTTTGAATGACATGAACTAGTTTCATTCAATATTTTGTAGTTTGTTTTCTAAATGAATTTCACTTTAACCATGTGATTATGCCGTACGTGAACAACGAAAAAAAGAAGGTTCTTTTCCTTCCAGAAAATACTTAGCCAAACCATGGGTATATAACTGACCACAAAGAGGCAAAGCGACCCCCACAAATTCCAACACGTTTTCTTGCAAGGGAAATTCTATTTACACCTATATAAATACTTTTTACACCTTATTATTAAATACCAAAAATTTAAAATATAATTTTTTATTTTTTAAAAATACATCTTATCCCAACGACATCACATTTTTTCATTCTACCCTTTTCATTCTTTTTTTTTTTTATTTTCTCACTCTCGATTCAAATTCAATTTAAACTTAATTTTAAAACTATCAAATCAATCCTTAAATCATAAGTTTTTTTTTTATTGTTTTCCATTTATTGTAGGTAAATTTTCAAGATTTTTGTTTATTAATTTAGCTAAAATAATATGAAAGTTAAGGTTTTTATGAAATTTTTTTGTCTAAATCATTGTTCTCGAAAATAAATTTTTGAAAATTTTAAAAGGCTTTTAAAACTTTATTTCTTAAAGTTTGGAAAGCTTATTGAAAAAAAGAAATTATGAGAACCTTAAATGTTGAATGAAATGTGAATGAAGTGTAAAGTTTTTTTTTTGTCAATATTGTATTTCTCAAAAATAAAATTTTGAGAACTTTAAAAAGATTTAACAAATTCATTTTCGAGAGTTTTGAAGTTTTTTTGAAAATTCATTTTCAAGAAAATTTTAAAGCTCTTGGAAATGAATTTTTTAGAGTTAAACACAAGGTATAAAAAGGATAAAATTATAATTTATTAAATGATAGAATTGATATTTTATAAATAGGTATTTTTGAAAGAAATATTTTAGAGTGTGAAAAGAAATTGGGGTGTTCTAAATACACCACCAAATTTTCTCTATACACTCTTAATTTTTTTTTTCAAAAATACTTTTAATAGCTTATACACCAAAAAACTATCTCGTATTTCTTGGAAATAGATTTTTTAGAGTTATATTGTGTTTTTGAAAATTTAATTTCGAGAAAATAATATAATTTTCTAAAATAGATTACCTAGAACAAAACACATATGTTGGAAAATCCATTTATGAGAATTATTTGTTTTATCAAAAATGGATTTTCAAGAATCATTTTATATTCTTGAAAATCCATTTTTGAGAATGCATAAAATTTTTTAAAATATATATTTAATTATAAACTCTTGATAACAAAAAATCGAGATTTCTAATCTTTAAGCTATTGAAAAATATTATCAATAGACTGATAAATTTGATAGTACGGATTGATGGCCGAAAGATTAGATACTGTCGA